TTAAATTTTGTCTTTTTGCAGTTTGGATACACATGTATCCTGTTTTTTGTGAATTTAATTTGAGTTTGTTTGAGGAAAAAAAGTCAGCCAAATCATTTGCTCTTTGATTAGATTCTGCCTCCAGGGCCGCGTCGTCAGTTCACCTTACGAACAACGTTGTATCATCCGCAAAGAGGTAGACGCTGTCCTGCGGAACAGTATCTGTGATGTTGTTGATGTAGACCAAGAAAAGGAGAGGTCCAAGGACAGATCCCTGGGGGACGCCATTGGAGATCAGTTTTTTTGTTGATGAAATTCTTTCAGTTTTTGAATTTGAGTTTTTTTTTAATCTCAGTGACTTGGAATCGGTTGCTCATATAGGATGTGAGCCACTTCAGCGCAAGTCCTGAGATTCCAATTGATGCCAATTTTTCCAATAGAATCGCAGGTTCGACACAATCGAAGGCTTTGGAGAGATCAGCAAAACAACCAACTACCGTCTCTCCAGCCTCCATTGCGTCTATACTGCTGTTGATGAAATCAATGTGTGCCAATTTTGTTGATTTGTTGTGTCTAAAACCATATTGTCTGTCACACAATATGTTATTTTTTTCCAAGAAGTTGCTAAGTTGCTCCGAAACAACTTTCTCAATCAATTTTGAAACGACTGGTAGGAGAGAGATTGGGCGATAATTCCCAGGATCAGTTCTGTCTGACTTTTTAAAAATTGGTTTTATTTTTGCAATTTTGCAATTCTGAGGGAAAATTCCAGATGTCAGTGAAAAATTGACTATGTGGGTAAGAGGAACTGCCACTTCCTCCCTACAATATTTTAGGACATGCATACTGATTCCATCTACACCACTAGAGTGTTTAGATGGTAGCTTTGAGAACAAATCCAGAAGGTAAGCCGATGTAATTAAATGAAATTGTCCAAGTTCAGCAGTGCCATCCCTCCTAAAACCAGATAAGGCATGGGTTTCCTGATCCTTGTTAACAAGCTTCGAAACATTAACAAAATAGTCATTTAGGGTTTCACACACTTCTATAGGATTTTATATTTTGTTACCGTCAATATTCAGTATAATATTATTACAGTCTGAATTTTCTTTTGGCCTAATGCTGTTTATAATCTTCCAGAGTCTTTAGATTTATTTTTTGAGCTGGATATGCAATCGTGTGCCCATTTTATTTTACTTTCCTGTATTTTGTTTTTATATTTATCTTTAAGCTTTAGGTATAATTCTTTGTCAGATATCATTCCTGTCAGCCTCCATACAGAGTATTGTTGGAACATGTTTTCCTTTGCAGCTATTATCTCATTGTTCATCCATTTGTTTTTTCCTTTGCGACTGAGATTAAGTTTTGTTTTTTTATTCGGGCAGCTGATATCAAAATAATATTTGAATGTTTCTATAAAGCTATCATATTTGGTATTAATATCAGGAGCATCATATACTGAGTTCCAGTCCTCTGACTGTAGCCTTATTTTAAGTTCATGAAGATTTTGATCAGTAATTATTCTTTTTTCTAAGGTTTTATTTTGGTTTGAGATACTATTTTGGTTTGAGATAATTTCAGGTAGGCTTATTTCTATATTCCTATATTCCGGCTTCCTTTACTTCGCTTTTCCGTGCTTATAATTATTGCGAAATTTGAAGCATATAATCTTCCCTGGGCAATTACGTTTTGGTGCATTGACAAGACAACACTGGCTCTTAGTATGAAGTTCATTGTTGGTGATGGTGTTAATGTTGTTCAAAGGTTTATTGCGGACATTTTCCACCACGATGGTACAAAACAATACACAACGTTTCGGGATCTGCAATCTGATCCCGTCCTCAGGTGAAAAAAACCGTTACTAACACATTAAAATTAACAATACACAAACGCCCATCCTAAGTTGGAATACACTACAGAGAGTAGCAGCCAACGAGCCAACAGTGCATACTTTTTGACTGTATAATTGAGTAGGTTGGGTTAGGATAGGTTAGGTTTGGTTTGGTTAGATTAGGTCAGGATTACACGTAAACAAGGACATTTCTTCTGCCGGCAACTCACCCCTACTTCCTTGGGCTCTGCGCAACTAAGGAACATTTTTTGGGACCCTTTTAGGTCTTGGCGCAATTAAGTAAGTCTTTGGCGCAATGCACGACCGTGCACTTGTTGAACTGTGAAGCTAAAAAAATGCATCTTGACAAACCTTTGTCAACAATGAGTCGCAGATAGTTCCAGACATAACGTTAACATGTCAAGAGTCACTTTCTTCAACACTTTCCCAGTTCAGTTGAAGCCGTGGTGTGTGAAGTGTGAACGTCAACAGAAAGTGATTTGCCTCTGGAACCAAGTCAACTGCTATATGGAGCACATGGATATCACATATCAAATTTAGCATGTCTCGTTGAAAAAAATATTCATGACACGATACGTGTGTGGGTCAATCCGGACCATGACAGGAGGATTTTGAGCTGTGACGTAGAGCTACTTGGCGATCGTGACCACTGGGCAGAAGGTTTCCCGGTTTCGGATTTCCGGTCGGGAACACAATCACTAAACTTTCCCCACTCTGGAAGAATCCTCTCTTGAATTTGCATTGAGTTTGATTCGGTGACTTGAGTATTTGGTTTGAATAATGAATCTCCTCAGTCCACCTCAAGACGGATTGAGAATTGCGTATACATCAAATTGTGGTACTGAAGTATTGGGACATTAATTGCGCCAACTGACTTGAGTCAGGTAGTCTGGTATTTCAGAATTGCGCCAACTATTCTAAAGAGCCACCCGATAAGTTCATTTACGGGGTCGCAAGTGGCGGTTCTCTTTGACTGTATAATTGGTTAGGTTAAGTTAGGTTAGGATAGGTTAGGTTACGTTAAGCTTGGTTAGGTTAAGTAATAGGTAAATAAGGTCATTCCTTATGCTTTCTGCCGGCAACTCACCCCTACCTGGCTTGGGCTTGACCAAATAAAGGAAGATTTTTGGGACCCTTAGAGGGCTTGGCACAATTAAGGAACTCTTTGTCACAATTAATGCACGACCGAGGTATTTATTTGATACCTCGGTTAAACCATTGTATAGTTGAGATATTAAAAAGTAATCCAAAAATTCAATTTCATAATAAAAGATAACTTACCACGTAACAATTTTAACTGTAAACTATACATATTAGTAAAAAGTAAATATTGATATCGCCAGACACACATTTTATGTATAAGTATAAATTTTCAGTTTTATTTTTATTACTTCAAAGTTCACTCGGAAGTTTTTATTCCAACCAATAACAATTAAATTTTCCCCATGTTAAATAATTATTAATAAATTGGGAAGTTATAAATAAATCTAACATACAGTAAAAAGTTTATTAAAATAAATAATCAATCAATAAATAATCAATATACAAACAAAGGTCTTAATCTAAAATAAATAAACGAAAAACATTAAATAAACAGATAAACTATTATGCACTAAAGTAACTTCATTTTTAACTATTCTGTAAAATGTGGGTCTATAACAAAATCTCATTTTGAGATAACACTTTGATTAATCGTTATATTTGGCACTAAGAATCTGTGATCAAACTCAGAGAAGTAAAACGTTTCAATGAGGCCTTCTGTCACAGACGGCATTAAAGTCTCCAAAAACATTATGAACCTATAAGTGTAACTGTCTTATTAACTTCAAGATAATTAACAATCAATATCAATAAACGGAATACAAATCAGGAATTCGTTTTTCTCTTCCACATTTGCATTTCCTTTTTCTTACTATTTTTAGATCTTGAGAAGAAAATTTAAACTCCATATGTCCCTTCTTTATATACTGTACTATCTGATTTTTTATTACAAAGGAAAAATGTGAGACCTCTTGTCATATACTTGTATAAGAGAAATATTAGCTGTCCTCATGACCAAAACGTCAAAGTGAACCAGGTCATATTTTTTACTACTAACGTATGTTGTGAAGTTAAAATGATTGAAGATGCAAGATTAAAAGGCTCCAAGGAAGGGATTGAAGGATTCATTGGGTCGTGAGCATTAAAAATAATATTTAAACATTCATTATGATTGCCTCCTGAACTGTTGTTACCACAGTAGCCCTAAGTACTAACCCTTTCGTATCCACAATTCACAGTTCAAATACTAGACTTAGATATCAATGCACATTTAAGAGCTTATCAGGTCTGCAAAGATTCATTTATTCGTTTGGTCCACTCGACAAACATCACATTACCAAAATAGTTGGCGTCTTCCGACCTTCTTATCCTAAATATTTAAATGTATAACACGCGCGTGTGTTTTCAAACTTTACGTGATGTTTTGACGAGTCTGAAAAATTAAGAGCCAATTTTTGTTTCCTGATGATGACGCTTTATCTTAAGTTCCAACATATACATTGTAAACTACGTCTATGGTTGTAGGCAAGGTATGGTAACCAAGAGGGTTACCATGGGTTCGTGACCTAAGCTGGATATTTTCCACCGGTGTGGCGGTCTGTTTTCTATTCCTTCTGAACAACTCACGTTTACATTGATCATTGCAAATACAAACATGTAAATGTTAGCCGATTGCGTGAAATTTGGTATCAATTTAACAGTGATTTTTAGATAAACTCTAAAATTTCCTTGTTTTACTGTATTTGGATTCAATATTTAAGGAGCTTGCCTGTCGTTATTGAATTCCCTAGTCCCCTTTATTTTCTGTGCCTTTAGCGTGAACTCAGACGCGCGGCAGTAACTAAGGTCTCGCCGCCGCACTGATGGTTACCCCCCAACTCTTTAGTTTGCCATATGTTTTATTGTTTTACTAGTGGAGACGGAATCCCGATAAAAACAGTCCGAGAGGCAATCATAGTAAATATTTAGACAAAACTTTAGACTCTCGTGACCCAAACTTCAACATACCTTTTCCTTGGAGCCTTTAAAGATTTATGACTTAAACTGATGGATTGCAGATATGCAACTTGCGACATAATGTTTGGATTTTAAGACAAATTCAAGGGGTTGCATAATGTCTAGTGAAGCACTAGAGCAGCCTATAGGTCCTCTGCTCCTGTTGGACCAATAACTGCGGTGTCTGGCACTGGTATATCTCCTGATCACAGCCCTGGTCAGCTCCGACCATGTAGGCTTGTCTGTATAGCTTGACCTGGTCACGGTAGTCGCCCGGGACCAACGCTTGCAGCTGTTTTAGTAACCTGCAACATACAAGTAGAGTACAAGCTTTGTGGATAAATATACATTTTACTACAGTTACCTGACAAATCGGGCTTGTACTGATAATAGTACGCTAAGTAGCTAATTGCTGCATTTACTTACTTTTGCCGCACTTTTTTCCGCACTCCAGTATTCTAACCAATAATAAAAACAGTGTGGTCGTATTAGGCACGTAATACGACGTGTACGCTTGGAATAAGTTGGCAACACTTACTACGACTACAATCAGCTGTTACAGTGTTTCCCATTTCGTTCAACATTTGTATTTAACATAACCTAAAACGTGTTGTTTAGTGTATGAAAGACTAATTAGTTCTATACTTTATAGTAAATGTAGGAAAAATATAATGTGCAACACGAGCGCAAAGTGCCTTTGCTGCACTTCAGAAACTTTCCACACTCGTCTGTTGCGTGTGCGTAAAAAACATTTCACTCGTGTACAGCAAACTGCCACTTTGCTCACTAGTTACACAAATAACTATTTCTTCCCATGTTTTAGGATTTTTACATAAAAAATTAACGTTTTTGTATTGTGGCACCAAAAAACTTACGCTTGTTACTGATTAATATCGAATGTTAACTTTTAACCGAGCCAACTCGAAACGACGACTTTATCGTAAGTTATATCGCACTAGTAGCACAGACACTAAGGGCGATAAAATAATTTTAGACTGCAACACACTCTAACGGCTCATACGCCCTTGAAAAATGGCTAAGCTGGTGGGTATAGGATGGATTTTCACTTGATTATCCAAAATTCAATCCAAAGTAGAAGAGTTTAAATCACTATACTGTAAGGTGGAATGTGGTCTAACAAGATTCTTAAAAAATACTGTACGTGTAGGTTTTTAATAAAGTTCTTCTTTAAAAAAGTTATGTTTATGTATGGTCGGGGTACCGTAACTTACTTTGGAATCTGCACTATCGAAGTGACATAGAATACAGCAAATTGCAAATACTTGTACAAATACAGTTATTAGACATGAGGTGGTTTCTTACACAATGAGCGCTATTGTTGACATTTTTGAAAGGTTGCTAAAACTCATTACATTATTTATTAATTTTGTTTCTCCAAGAGCTTAACGCCTTTCACGTGAATATCTTGATGTAATCTGTCAAATGGTATCCACCATAACCCGAATAACTGCTCCAGTTTTGTGCCAAATTTATTTCACTTACAAGCGCAACACCCGGACCATTTCCATTCTGTGTTGGTTTTGTCACTGTCCATGAATATGCAACGGCGCGGCGTGTGACAGTCTACTGGGTTTGCCGCGATTATAACAGAAACTGACGGCCATACAATCGCGGAGGCGGACATCGCCGGTCACGTGACAGCTTTGGTCCACCGCGCCGGATAGTTAATTGTCCAGTAGAAACATGTCTAAAGAAATAACATTATAATTATTAAGTTTTGTAAAGTATTTTACCTACGACCGTTTTTTTTGTAGCCGTTTCAGTTCAGTTCTTAGAATTGAAAAAAGTCACATAACAGCATTGTTTACTTTCATAACAGCATAGCTTTACTCATAACACACGGGTAACGGACCAATGAGGTAAAATAGTTTTATTTTAACTGGGTCATTATATAAGACTTGATTATACAGGGTGTCCCGGAACTCTCTACAAATATTTTAGGGCATTGCTCCTGGATAAGAAACATAACTAAATATCATATTTAAACTGTCCGGAAGTCCTTAGTTACTCACACAGCCGCCATTTTGTTTTTTTCAGTTATTAATCTTTTTCTAAATAATGGTTAAACATACGAAATGGAAACTTTGCACAAACATTTATGACAACTAGACAAAGGTACCAAAAAATTATCACGATTATTCAAATTCATAAAACAAAATGGCGGCTATTTAAAATTTTTGTAAAATCAATGGTTTTTGAGTTATTTAAGAAAGAAAATGTTAAATGGATGCCATTTTGTTTAATGAATTTGAAAATCGTCATAATTTTTTTGTAGCTTTGTCTAGTTGCCATAAATGTTTGTGCAAAGTTTCCATTTCGTATGTTTAACCATTCTTTAGGAAAAAATGAATTACTTAAAAAAACAAAATGGCGGCTGTGTGAGTAACTAAGGACTTCCGGACAATTTAAATATGATATTTAGGTACGTTTCTTACCCGGGATCAATGCCCTAAAATATTGGTAGAGAGTTCCGGGACACCCTGTATAAAAGTTCATTTGTGCCATATTGTATAGTTAATTGGCATATATTTGACATTGGGTTTCCTCCGTCTATTGACCAAGTCGTAATCCGATAGACGCATCGTACAGTTTTGTGCCCTACAGAAAATGTTATCTAAAACAATGAACCCCACTGATAAATTTCATCTTAGAAATAATTATAAAAATGTAGTGTAAAAAATAAGTTTGAAAAAATAAGTTACAACCTACCCCCAACCCTGTTAGGGGGGGGGTTAAAAATATTTTTGATGTAAACGATTGTGGAATCTTTGTTAACAGTCAAAGCCAGAAGCAGAATATTTCTATCTACAGATCGGGTTTCCGAAATCGGTTTTCTAAATACAGGTTTTTTCCATACCTAATTTACACACTGTATGATTTAATTACATGGAGTGCAAGAGGTTGGTAGTATACTGAATTGAACCTTATTTATAATAATTCTAAATAAAACACACATGTTAAGACATAATTATTAATTTGGAAATCTAGTTAACCTATTAAAACATAAAACTAATTACTTTTGCCTGCAATCATCTTTTGCAGGTTTACTAAACTAGCCAAATGTTTAATCAGCTTGGATATTCCCTCATTCTTTATCTTCCAAACAAACCTTTTCATACGAGCGAGCATACAAAAAATTCTACAATTAACTTCAATAAAATAATTCATGATGTATGACATCTGTGTTGACAAGCATTGTTTTGATGCGTTAGTTACTGGGATCGGAGAACGTTGCAACCAATTATGGGATCGTGAAAGAACTTATTTAGACGTAGAAAACTTTACTACAAAACGTCTTTGGCTTTTCCTCGAGCCTATTGGTTCAGTATTAGAAAATAATGTTTTGTGGTAAAAAGACTACGTTTCTGAACAGTCGTTATTATCCCATTGCTTTTGGTAATACACCATACACCCCCAAGTGTATTTAATCAATGTTCATAGTATTCATAGGAATGACCTTTTATTTTGTACTGTATTTAGTAATTTGCCAATGTAGGCCTACTCTACTGTTAGTAGGTGATTTGCTACAAGTATTATGTTGCAATTAATTTATTTACTGTCACAAAACTATCACAGCTGCTTGCAACCCATAAGACCAATAATGTAAAAAAAATCTAAATTCCAATAAAGACTTATACAGGGTGTTGAAAATGTCTGGAACCAACATTATATCTGGTGAGTGGTTAAAGAAAAACAACTGATATTTTGTATACGGATATACTATGGTTTTACCTATCTTTTGGTGCCTTATGAAATTTTTTACCACTTATAGGGAACGTCCCGTAGAGGATGCAGTAAAAAGTTTTAATGGAAGCCTATGGCAAATGATACATCATTTTAAAGGCCAATTTTTTCTGAGTAAGGAGCCACAAGTTTCATCTCAAAAGGACCACCCTAGCAAAAATGGCGACTGTTTGAAATTTAAAAACCCACTTATAGGGAACGTCCTGTGGAGGATGCAGTAAAAAGTTTTAATGGAAGCCTATGGTAAATGATACATCATTTTAAAGGCCATTTTTTTCTGAGTAAGGAGCCACAAGTTTCATCTCAAAAGGACCACCCTAGCAAAAATGGCGACTGTTTGAAATTTAAAATTCAATTATTTTCAAAAACTTCAAACAGTCACCATTTTCGCTAGGGTGGTCCTTTTGAGATGAAACTTGTGGCTCCTTACTCAGAAAAAAATGGCCTTTTAAATGATGTATCATTTACCATAGGCTTCCATTAAAACTTTTTACTGCATCCTCCACAGGACGTTCCCTATAAGTGGTAAAAAACCACTTATAAGGCCCCAAAGGGCCCCAAAGGCCCCAAAGGGTAGGTAAAACCATAGTATATCCGTACACAAAATATCAGTTGTATTTCTTTAACCACTCACCAGATATAATGCTGGTTCCAGACATTTTCAACACCCTGTATTTATATTAATACTAGCTATAAACACAACTCGTGACTTTTAGTACTTATTAAAAGATGGTACTGTATTTGGGAGGTTATAACAGCTGTAACAGTTTATACAACCAAGCTCAATAAAATTACTTGTATACCATTGGAATCCTCAAAGAAACAGGCGAGTAATTTATTTTATAATGTAACTGTTAAGTGGAAATTGTTGTTGGTCGAATTTACCACAGTATTTGGTTTATTGGGTAGAGTAGGTCTAATTGTCATGGCAAGGATGATTAGAAATTGATACTAAAGTAGCATCAGTCAATCATTAAAAAATAATGAATAATCGCGATCATGTTAGACTTGCCTTCAACTTCCCCAATGTTCGTAATGCTCCAGGCAATGTTCGTGAGCGCCTTCAATAGAATGCAACTATAGCAACTCTTTCATGTAATGCAAAAAGACTACCGTCACAATGAAGGCACTACTGTACACCCAGTTCGCTTTAAAACCCTTCAGATAACAATACCTCTGTTTTGAAATACTAGAGGGATTTTGGCTAACTAGGCTTCATTTGGTAGAACATAAATTTAACGAAGAATGTATATTTTTTATGATATTCAGTATGTAGATTGAAATAAATCTGTCATCGTGCAAAATATTACTTTAATCATATTTGACATTATTAGAGTGAGCTACACAATTGAATTTACCAATACAACTGTTTACCGTACTAATTGCTATATGTAGATTGAATTTAGTTGTCATGATGTGTAATTTTTTTGATTTGATCCAATTTGACGCATTATTTGAGTGTATGTAGTTATAAAGTAAATTGTGATTATATTATTACTCGTAATAGCGTATACAATCCCTAAAACCAAATAATAATAGATTAGCTATATATGTACATAGAGAAGTATCTTTAAATATGGTCCCAGCTTACAAAACCTTTTAAGAGATGAATTTGTTTAAAATTCTATTATGTAAAATTCCTTGTAAGTTAATAGATTCGCGAAAAAAAATTGACTTCAACTACAAACGATAGCATTTTATCCATCAATTTAAGAGTTAAAAATTTAACATTTCAACATGACGAAACAACGGAAACCGGTACCTCATTTCTAGATGATTTCATGATGATTTCTAGATTTCATGGATTAGTTGGGTTGTTTCAATAAGTAACCAAATCGTAAGAAAGATTTTACGTCCAATATAAATAGAAGAAGAATAGCGATTGAAATAACAACATTAAACCGGACAGACTTAAACATATATGAGCATTCCTTGCAATAAAAATACAGACACATGAAAACATTCTTACTTACATAAGTAAACTCAAGTCAAGAACAACATGGTTTGGCCAAGTTGCCAAAGAACATTTTTAAGCGCAAAACACTATTATGGTTAAAGACAGGGCATTTTTATCAAGGTAAGAGTCTAAATACTTAGCTACTCTTCATCCATGTAACAAAACAACGTTCATTGGACTCCCTTATAGTACAACAGTACTACTATAGTGACATGGACTATAGTATGATAGAAATACCATTAGATAAAATGATGTTAGATCTACAGACTCGCTGAGGACACTACTTGATGTAGTAATTAGTAAAACACCTTAGAAATGACTAGGTGTACGAAAAATGTTTATAGAATGCCCTAGTTATGAGCAAATACCCATTCCAGGTGGAGAAAATTAGTAGTAAAAAATAGTAGATGTGACTGACGTGTAAGTAAGATGAGTGTTTGAATGATTACCATTAAGTTGTACACTCGTATTTAAATCCTCTTTCACTTTATAATTGAGTAGGTTAGGTTAGGTTAGGTAAGGTGGGAAACGGAGAACCGGCTACCTCTGGCCCTAATTCTCTTATAGGAGTTTGGTTAGGTTAGATTATATAAATATGGCCCCTGAATTTATGACCGGTGGCCGGGAACCCCTACGTTCAGGTAAGGTTAGGTCAGGTAAGGTAAGGTTAGGTAAGGTTAGGTTACGTAAGGTTAGGTTAGATTAGGTTAGGATGACATGTAAACAAGGACATTCCTTCTGCCGGCAAATCACCCCTACCTTGGGCTTGGCGCAACCAAGGGACATTTTTGGGACCCTTTGAAGGCTTAGCGCAATTAAAGAACTCTTTGGCGCAATTGCACGACCTCTTTCAACTTCAACCAATTGAACCAAGTCAGCAGTAAGTCCTACAAAGACACGTTTGAGTATACTTTTCGATAGAGACACATACCAATATGTACAGACAGTGACTGCGACAAAGGCGGACACAGTTGACAGAAGTACTGGTTACTAGAACTGAATAACTAATGTTGTTCGTTCTTCGACTGGTTAACTAATTGTACCTTTTGTTTCTGATCCGTTACTCAGTCAACTTTCCCTACTCTTGTACATGTAAACATCGGCCTACATAATGTGGGTGATTTCGGCCTACGTCTCTTTTGATTGACAGTTCTTTTACTTCAGCTTTTTTATTGGCAGTTTTGATTTGGAAGAAATTTCAACATTCAACATTTTAAATCGTGTCTGGAAGTCTGGAAGACGACTGACGTGAAATAGGCTCAGCAGTTTTGAATCATTCTTGGTAGAAGCATAGTACATTGATGTAAAAACGATCGTCACCAGTAATACATTGGTAGTGGAAGGATGTAAAATATTATATATTTCATCACTAGGGCCTAAAGTGACTCTTTTTGACTCGAGGTCAAGTTTTACGATCGAGGTGAAGCCGAGGTCACAAAATGAGTGGAGAACTATATTTTTCGTCATATTGAATAATTAATTATCAACTTAGCTAGACATAAATAATTGTTATGCAAAGATAACCTCTCAAAACCACTTCCAGCTTGTTTTCAATTATGCTAATGCAAATAAGCAGCTATTAAGTGATTCAATTTCGTCTATTACGGTTGTGTACATTATCCTTACCTAATAAATCAATCGAAAAATATTTTCGATCGATACGATTCCCTCAATCGAAATTTACAACTGTTTACAACAGCAGATTTTTACTTCCTAGAGAGTAAAAATACTACTTTAGACCCACAATGCATGTATTAAAAACGGCTATTTTCTGCAGTATGACGAAATATATTTTAAACAGATTATTCCTTGTGTGCGAAATTCGCTAAGAGCCATGTGAGCTATTTTAAACACTGTGGCATTGATTTCACCAACATAAAGAAACGTCTCAAGCTCTAATGAGTTGATTGTTGTAGTTCCTTTCAATTAGTTTTATTTTATTATTTTCATAACTGTGAAATAATCTTTTTGCTCAAGAGAAATCAACCTGTTTGACTCTGAAATACCAAGCCATTTCAAAAACAATGTAGTGGATTTATTATTCGTTCCACACTGTCCAAACGAATTACCCATGCATCATAAACTGGGCCGTATGCGAGCACATTTTAAACCGATTCATGTCTTCCGACTTTCGCCTTTTACTACTGGATCATGACTAGAAATATATAAACATGTCCTTGGATATTAATCAGCTGATTAGTCCATAGAGTAAAACTTTCGTTTCTATTCAACGTTGTCGAATTCCAATGTTGCTCTTTGTTTGAATGCAAAGCAAAGCGCTTTCGAATGTGAGAAAAACTCATTATGGACATTGCTTCATTAGTTATGACTCGTTAGGTGTTTGTTCACTTTTTGGTTTTGAGTTAAACTGATTGAAATTTAATAGATCTTAAAACTATATCTAAATAGAATTTTTAATGTAGATAAATAGGAAAATGTGTGACTGGAAGAGATACGATGGTGATAAGGTCAAACTCAGTTTTTAGAATGACTTACTGAATCACAATATTTCAAATGTTTAAATTATGTTTAGTATTTACGACAATGGCTTCCCGATGCTGAGGGGTTGCAGACACTTCCCTTCTCATTGCGAGTTCTACAGTGGCTAGTATTTTCAACTCCTTGTACGCCTATCATCAACAAAAGAACCATCTTCGTCTTGTCTTGGGGTCAACAAAAGAATCGAAAGTTGCCAACATAGCAACCAAGGCCAAGGAAAGGATTGCTGATATTTAAACCTCTAGAAGGGAGTGAACTTACCAAGTGATAGGTTTCCTGTAGGAGCTATCCTTGTCTTTGCTACCCAGCGTACAGGCGACTCTCTCCAAACATCTTCCAGAGCCCAGCAAAGATCTGAACACTTCATCTATCTCTGTCACTCTGGCGTCCTCCGTCTCGCTCAGGTTCTTGCCCGACCTGCAGAAGCAGAGAGTGGCGGTTCAGCAAATAATCACACAGGAAGGGGTGTTCAAGCTCAGGAGATTCAAATATTTGGATCCATCACGAATTTTCATTGAATTGACGAAATGGCATTGGCAATTGCTCTCTTAAATTATACTACATTTTCAAACCCATTCTCAAGAAACGTAAGATCCTCCACAGTTTAGTAAAAACACTACATGTTCCTTACTTCTGAGCAGAATATGGCGATAAATTTAGTATGGTTTTCCTGTCAAAGATGAATATTCAAGTTGATAGTTCTTGTTATCAAACAATTTTTTTAATCGATTCGTGAATCGTGATTCCTTCATTAAAAATGCCACTGGCCCAAAATATTGCTTTAAATAAACTACTTTTGCCTTGGATTTTCGGTTTAAAAATGTTCCACGTTAAATTTACTGGATATATGTTTGTATAGAAAAAGTATATTATTAGGATTCTTGTGCAAAGGTCTATTCCTTCTTTATCTCCTTCTATGCTAAGCTCTGTAAGTATAATCTTACAAAACAAGGAGTAAAAAGTAAACCAAAGTAATAATCACAAAAGGAGTTACAGGACCTAAAATCTAGTTGTACAATTAACAAAATATGTGATGACTACCTTCTCGCTGGTGTTGCAGTGGTTGATGTCGTGGTCATGCCTCCCATGCCTCCCATACCTCCCATGCCCATCATCCCCATCATGTTCATCATCATGGGCATCAGCATCATCAGCAACGGAGCCAGCACTGGGATCGCCACGAGCATGAAGAGGATCGGGACTACTATCAGCTTGAATATCAGCACCTGCTCACCAGGGGAAGAGAGAGGCAGAAGAATGAGATAGTGAGATATAGAACAGTAGAACACAATCAACTAGGATCGTCAGTCTTTTAAGATGAACATATTGACGGAATAGTAACGTATATACGGTTAGTTACTTGTATAGAGGTTATTGGGATTATTGTCACAAGGATTTTACCTCGAATATGGCAAGAAGAAAAGATAACAGATAACAAGTAAGATTGATGAACCAATAAATATAAAATTAATGAAAGACAGCAGACAATAAAGAATTAAGTAAACTAGAGGTCGTCCAGTGGTCTAAAACTCGACCAAAAATATCTAATGTTCACACTTCTCTATTTTCACCCCACACTGTAAATAAAAAATGTGAGTGAATGCAATGTCTTTAATTTGTTTTGATTTTCTGATTATACTTCGTTGTTAACTCGTCACCAGCACGGCAACCCATAAGGCCCATGTTAATAAAAAAATTAAATTAATTTTTTGTGCTTATCTTTGAGCCTATTTTAATTTATAAAGGGATTCAGCACTCCTACAGGAAAATATCTTTCTAACGGTATGCGTAGATTTTCCCTAAGATGCACACGAGCTGAGCTGATTAATATATAGATGGAAAAGAACAGTAAATAGAAGAAAATAAATGGCACGGATTAAAAACATATTCATTCAACAGAATCTGGCATTGGAAAAGAGAAAATTATTTGTTTACTAGGAGCTATGCTAACCAATAGATTCTTTCTTGCATTGGATAATAGTTCTTCATGCGAAACCAAGAAAAATATTACTCTTCCTATACAAAATCAAATACAAATATTCTTATGTCTCGCGCATTTTCCCACTGATGACTACAAATTTTTTGCTTTACTGGATGTCGTCCGTATATTGTCCTTTTGGGCCCTTAGGGGTTATATAGCATAAAAATATACTTGGTACTCACAGGATGGAGTTTGTATATACCTTGAAAAATATCAAAGCCGGCAGTTTAGCCAAGATGGCGGCTATTGCTGCTGAGGTGCCTGTTGCCAGAATGTTATTCTTGACTCCACTAATATCTGGGAGGATGTCGTTGAACCCAGTTGCACAGCCTGTCGTTCCTGCCAAAACAGTTTATAAATATTTAAAAGGTTACTTTAATGGTACTGACAATACAGTTCTTATGTCAATGGAATATTATAAACTGTAGGGATTCCAAGAATTTTGTATTAGAAGCAAAAGATCGATTCAGGATCAGTCCTAAAAGGCCGAAGCTATGTTTGATGGTCCTACCCTTCATCACTAGGGCCTAAAGTGACCCCTTTTGACCCGAGGTCAAGTTCTACGATCGAGGAGAAGCCGAGGTAAGAAAATGAGCGAGGATTAAAAAGACACTTTTTGCCTGTGTGGAGAACTATATTTTTCGTCATATTGCATCATTAATTAACAAACAAAGCTAGAAAACGAAATAATTTGTAAGTAAAGATAAACTCTCAAAACGACTTCCAGCTTGTTTTCAATTCTGCTAATGCAAATAAGCAGCTGTTTAGTATGTGATTCAATCATTTCGTATATTTCGATTGTGTTACAGTACATTATAACATCGATATGTCGAGCAATCGACAACAATAGGCTAAAAAGTCAATGCTGAAACCTTACCTAATAAATCAATCGAAAAATAATTTCGATCGTTACGATTGCCGCAATTACTCCCTAGAGAGTAAAAAATGCTACTTTGGACCCTCAACGCATGTATTAAAAACTGCTGTCTTTACTGCAGTGTGACGAAGAATACGTTTTTCCTTAAATATAATATTACAATATATTCAATATTCTAAATCATTTCATAGAAACAAAATTCTAGCAAATTTTGCCCTTTTTCTGGCAAGACAAGGGTAATGCGAAATCCTAATGTGATAAAGAACATTAATCGTTACGAAAACATGCGATAAAACCATTTGATGTGGAAGCAGCTACAGTGGAGGGAAACCGTAGAAACCCTACGTTACATATTCATCACAGACAGACCACTTGGACGACCAGAATAAAGTATTAGTGTCCGAGTCAGAAGTCGACCTTTCTATAGACAGGGTCATATAACTGTGTGTGTTGTAGAGTAAATACACCGTGTCATTTATTCATACAGGAATTGGTCCGACAATTCGGTAATAAGTCTCTGCGGTAATTCTGAATTATACACAGCTCGAAACCCATTCAATTCAAAAATGATGTATTTGTTTAGTACTGTAGTTTAGTGTATGGTCGGGTTAAGTAGTTTTCAGCACATTTGATACACAATAATTACAGGATTCAAAATATTTTTTGAATATCTCTTAAAAAAGATCTGGAGAAATATTTACAAATTTTGTGTTTTAAGGGTAAGAAATGAGAAAACCCCATTTTTACCCCATAAAACCCCACGTTAAACCCCGGTCCCATCGTCCGATCATGCTGGTTCGCGAACTCATTCAAGTTTATCCCGCCTTACACCTTTAAACCAAGCAAACATAATAACCTATAAACAAGCAAACTATAACATTTTACAATATTCTCTATAAAAATAATATTGGAATTTTTAATTTACGATTTTTTTTATCCGTTACCAATAACCGTACAAACACACTTTGATATGCAAAAATATGTCCCCTAAGCTCTTTAAAAATGTCTAGAGAGAAATTGAGAAATTTTATGTTTTGAGGATCAAAAATGAGAAAACCCACTTTTATCCCATAAAACCCCCAGAAAACCCCGTTCCTAAGGTCGGATCATGCTGATTTACGAACTCATTCAAGTTTATCCCGCCTTACACCTATAAACCAAATGTCATCTTTCCCATTGAACCCATAAAATAACGGAAAATTTGATTTTCGAAAAAACGTCTAAATTTGATTGAAATTTAGTACCCTATGGTTCTTATAATTCTAAACACAGTGGTATAACGCTAATTGCTGTATATTACGATTACTAAAACGTTTGTTGTCCATTTAATATAATATACTTCCACTCCTTTACCCATGATAAAAGTTGTTGACAAGCTAATAGGAGAAAGTATGTGTTATATTGCTAATACCGTTTATTATTTTTATACATATGTGCATATGAGCTTTTTATTTATATAGCATGCAATTTAACATTTGTTTAAAATCTATAAGATAATTTATGTTTCAGAAAATGTATGTTTTTCCAGATAATATTATTATTACTATAGTTTATATAAGACCTATAAGACCAAGCTAACTCTTTGTGTTCTGGGAGATTCCTATGAAAAGTATGTTTATAAAAAAATATTTTCTTGACCGACTCACAAAGTTAAGTTGATTCACCTTTTTTCTTAAATTTGTTACACTCTCCCTTGTTTTTAATACTAGATTCATCACAATTATTATTGGTTGTTTTTGCACTTCATCTTGCCTAATAGAATGGATTATATTAAAAATTTAAACAAAGTTATTTAGATTAAAAATTAAAATCACAGCATTTTTACCTTGGTTAACATTATTTATACTGTATAGCATATAAAAAAAAACTATATTTCACATTGTTGTTCCCGCATTATCTTCATATATTAAATTATATACAAACGTTGTAACTATTTAATGTGAATGTCAATGTAACTTATTTTATACATATTTAAGGTATTGCACGCATAAATATGTCGATTATTGTTTGATGACATATATTTATCAGTATAATAGCTTAAACACGTATAACACCAATTAAGACTTTTTAAATGAGTTTTGTGTTTTTAACGCTAGAACAAACAATTAATATTTCCTGTCGTGTTATTTTCCCTAAACGAACAAAAATAAATTTAATTATTGAATGATAATCTAGTAGGGAGATCTTTAAACACAAAAGTAGTTATGTAATAGAATATATGAAAGCGTTTTGAAGAAAAAAAAAATTAAGCTTGATTGATTATCTAGCCAGAATGTAAAATAAAAAAAAAACTTAATAATCATATTTGAAAGAACTTTGTTTTCAATATTTTGTTTTTGCAAATTTAAGGTCACAGACCTTTTCTTACACTTTCTTTACAGATACATGAAATAAATCTTACGTAGCTTTTACTTTGTTTTGTCATAAAAACCCTTGCTCTTAAAATGCCACATGATTTTTTCCTTTTGTGGAAACGTAAAGAAGAAAATATGCAGACACATGGTATGAATCATATGAAATTTTACGGGTTAAAATAAAAAATATTTATATGTTTGTGTCACTTATTCTAAATTTAAATTAGTCAGTACAGAACAAATTGCAACTACATTTACGTGGAAACCCAAACGATACGCAATAAAACAGTTGCAATTTTGTGTATTTTGGAAATTTAAATTTCAATTATTGTATTTATACGTGGATTTATAATTACTAAGGGTCGTCCAGTGGTCGAAAACTCGACCAAAAATATGTAATGTACAGACTTTTCTATTTTCACCCCATGCTCTAAATAAAACATGTGATTGGAATTTCTTACATTTGTTTTGATTTTTTGTGTATATTTCGTCTGCAGTATGGCAAGCCCATAAGGCCCATGGGTACTTTCCTGTTAAAGGGAACATTCATTATTATCGATGATTTCTTTCCGATACATCGATATTCTATTTTTGATCCGATAATGAACGAGATGTCAGCTGACAACTACGATAAGTAAATATTGTTCAGTATCAACAAACAATTTAAAAATATTATATTGAAATGAAAATGTTCTAAACTAACCTTTCCTAACCAACCAAACTTGCTATAAAATTTCCAAATTCCGTTTCATATTACTCACATGCCTTTTCTGTTATCAAACGCAAACGAAATTTTGAAATGATACAGCAAACCCAGCAAGTTTGGTTGGTTATGTTAGGTTAGTTTAGAACAGTTTTACTTATTTATGTTTTGCCTAAACAAGATCAGTTGTCAATTTGTAATATAAATGTGTTTGAAGATATTAAAACAGAAGGTATGGATGGTAAAGGAAAACAAAAATATCGATATATTGAAAGAATTCAGGTCGATAATAATGAATGTTCTCTTTAACAGGAAAGTACCGGCCCATGTTACATTTTTTTTTAATTTCAAATCTTTTTTGTGCTTATTTTTTAGCTTATTTAAATTTATAAAGGGGTTCTGCATATATACAGGAAAATATATTTCTAACAGCATGCATAGATTTACCCTGCGATGCACACGAGCTGAGAAAAGGATTTCAAATAAACATGCTTGTCTATTAATATATAGAATCAGCCCCTATGTTAATTCTCCATAAGAAAAGTTGAATGTCCATTTTTGACCCAATTAACATAAATATTCTCAAAATACAAATAAAACATGCACGTATATAAAACCGATAAATTTTTTTTGTACAACCCACGTGTAATTCGGTCCAGTATGGTCAGGCTAGCTGTCATAAGTTGTGCAAAAGTTGTTTAATATATAAGATAACAAATATCCACTCTTACCTGTATTGTACGTAGGAGGTCCATAGGAAGGACTCGGCGCCCCGTAGGAGCTGGAAGGATATCCAGCCTGCCATCCACTAGCAGAAGGATATCCTGTAGAATCCTGCCACTGGTCACCCCTAGCGAACCCTAGCAAAACTAGCAAACCCAGCGAGGCTAGCGAGCAACCCAGCGCGGCGACTCCCATAGTGATAACTGGCTGAGCCACCGACACACTATTGTTTATATAGGCGCTGTCACAGACCTCCGAGTTAAGCCCAAAACGAAAGTGATTCTTTGTTTAGTGGCCTTTGTTTGTATTGTTGATTGGTACAGGTGTTATTGTTTTCATTACGTAAGGTTGCGAAAAATTGCTAATTTTGTGTATATGTTTAGCTGGTTTGTTTTCATTAATCTAAAATATATTATGTGTATGTTTTTGTAAAATTGATCGAAAGGGAATTTATTATGGTAATTGAAACTTTTCAGAATGTATATCTACATTTATAATAAATTTATAATCATATTTTAACAACTAGTACCAGGAGGACGAGCTTTTCCACGGATTGAATCAAACATTAAATTTATTAGATAAGTCATTTGACTACTTAAATATAATTATTATGTACTTTAATCAATTTTTTCATTTCATTTAATTTTAGTCAATTAAACTAATTGTTCATCTTGGAGAGCGAGCTGGTCTAGTGGTTAGAGCGCGGGTCTTCCCTGGGGGGTCCCTGAGGTCCCGGGTTAAAATACCACCAAATCACCAATGTATTTTATCTAAGTGACATTGCCGCAACCCCTAAGTCTAGCCTGAAGTAATGTGAAAAAATTCCAGGCTCGTGCTTATCGTCCTAGGACAACAAATGTCCGTCTTGTATGTTATCCTAATCCCTTAAGATTTAACGTTATGGACGATCAATGCAATACTACTGGTTAACATTTCAAACTACTTTTTCAAAATCTAGGTTGAAAATGTTGATTATCAAACGTTTTTCAATGCAAAAAAGAAAAGTTTTTACAAATTGTAAAGGATGCATTGTTCACAGGAAAACATATTTACCTAATGAAAATATTTGAATCTCTTAAAGACGAGCTAAATTTAAACGTAGACAAAAAAATTTATACAACAAAAGTAACGCAAAATGTTATCAAATAATAGTAGTCTTTAAAAATTCCAAAAATTAATGTAATATAATTATAATAATATACAAATGAATTTGGGACAACACTTTATCTGAGGAATCCCCCCCTCCCTCACACTTACAGTTTTCCATTTATTAGATTGAAAGGAACAACCCGTCTAAGCCTGTAAAAACTTAACAAGTGAAACTTTTATTTTAAAATACAGCCTTATATGATTTAATAATACAACACAAAATGGGCGTATAACTGATTACACGAGAATGGATTTTGTTACGCCAAAACAAGATTGGAAACCGTTTGACGTTTTAATAATGATCGCTGTCGGCATATACAACAATGATATATTCCACTGCAATAGTAGAATGTGAAACTAAAATTACTAATTAGAATGAAGCCCATCTTGCATTCTGATTATCGTAAGCGACCCATACTAGTCCGTGCTATTGATAAAGCATTCAGCGAGTGCAAGCGCAAAAAACAATAAAGAACCCGACAAATTCATAACGGAAGCTCGAATACTAACAGCTGTTGACGGAGTGAATACGGATGTTTTTATAATCAGCTGATCGTTTGATTGAGATATGAATTATTTATGTACTCTACCAGCTTCACTAGGCTGAATGTCAAAGAGGATCCTGCAGTAGGCCTAATAATCCCGATTTCAATGATTCAGAGTAGGTAAACAATACACAACTGCATGGAAATATTTTATGAAGTCAATAACGTCTTAAATTTAATTGTTAAAGCCTTATTTTTAAATTTTGAAAACTTTAATTAGAGTTTTCTAATTACATTTTTAGCTTTTGTAAGCGCTTATTTTAGCCATGGGGATTGACGTGAGAGTATTATATCGACCTTGAAAATATGGAATAGTGATCAAATCTCTACAATAATCTACTATTTGCATTGAAGTGATTGCACCACATACAGGATTAAGATTTACATATTATCGTCAGCTATAAAAGTTGTAAATGTAATGAGTGTGGATCAAGGGTTAAACAGTTAATTTTTAGGAGTAGAATAAAATATAAACAGGCTTACATAACGGACTGTCATATTGCATACCAATAAAAAATTGGGTTGATTTCAATTTCACTCTGTCAGTTAGATAAGCGTGTTTAAAAAATCTGTATAATGTAGATTACAACTTGATATTGTATGGTAAGGACCACATTATGTTTCAGTTTGGAAGGTATACTGTGTTAATAATTTGTCATGCCTATGGGTAATAATGGGAGTAACGAAAAAGAATGGTGTAGAATAATTTGGAGGTATAACACTTGTAATAACTAAGTTGTGTTATGTAATCCTACTGCTGGTATAGTTTTTACCAGTAAAATATTGATTTGCTATACAGTATGTTTCTTTCAAAAAGAAGCTAAATTAGGCATGTTCACCCAATTTTCAGTAAATGGTAACTTTTTAGTTACTCATAAGGGATGTGTAAAGGGAAATACATCCAATAAGGTGTATATTTATTTGAACTGGAAAGAAAAAAGGTGGGCCCCAAAACGCACCCCTGAGGCACTCCCAACTCTTGTATTCCTACATTAGCATAAATGATTGCAGCACACAGGCCGCGTGCTTCGCTCATTTTTCTTCACAGCTCTACTTTCCTCCGCCAACTTCCGTTGCTTAACACCGTTCTGCGTGTTTACCCATGTTTTGTTTCATCCAAAAGCCGAACAAGTTTGTTTTCCTTCGCCCAAAGATGAGTCAGTTTCTCGCTCCGCTTTTGTTCCCAGAAGTGATTTTTCTACAGGCTGCTGGCCTCGTTAGGAAGAGAAAAAATTAATTTCGACGTCGAAAGTTACATTAACGTCCGTTAAAATTATGGTTAAAAGGATTTTGGAATGTTATTTAAATTTACAAAAAATAGTTGTCACGTCAATATTCAAGATAAATTGCTAAAATTGTCACAGTCTATAGATTATTTCATTCCATAAATTGGTTTGATCGAAAAGACAAAAGTTTATCTGAAGTTAAGCTTAGTTTAGAATATGTATATATACAGTATGTAAATTACAAAAATTAACGCAACTTTCTAACTGTCAATATTTGATCATCATTTATATTTTAATCATTTGTATACCACTGTATTTCATTTCAATAATTAATTTTACAGCAATTATTTTACCCAATAACGTCAAGCTACACATCTGCATAGTAAAATTTACTTATTTCCTAGTATTAAAAAGGTTAAAATACCTGCTATCAAGCAATCCGTTTAATTGCAGTTGCAACTAGTTTCGACTCTTATGTGGAGTCATTATCAGGCGGTACAAGGACTTCTTCTTTCTTCATATGAAGTCAATAACGTCTTAAATTTATTTCTAAAGCTTCATTTTAAATTTTGAAAATCTTAATTAGAGTTTTCTAATTACATTTTTAGCTTTTGTAAGAGCTTTTTTAGCCATGGGGATTATTCATATGAATAAAGAAGAAGTCCTTGTACCGCCTGATGATGACTCCACATAGGAGTCGAAACTAGTTGCAACTGCAATTAAATGGATTGCTTGATAGCAGGTATTTAAACCTTTTTAATATTTTTTGGTAATCCGGAGGCTACATCCACAATGAAGTTATTTCCTAGCGATAACATTTATCCTTTCCGATTACAAAAATCGCAAATTAATCGATTCCTAACAGTACTGCGACTACAAATCTTGTTGACAGACTGGGAGAAGCGGGGAAAATCAGCTAATTAGATAAGTGATAGTCTACAGTCACGATAGGTGTATCGAATGCGATTGATAGATGTTGGAAGGTTCGATCCTACAAAGTGGCAAGTCAGACTCCCCGCTGGCGGCCTTGATAGCGAGATAAACATCTGGAACAGCTCTATTATCGGTGAACAATGCATAGCTGTGTGAAAATTGTAAATATTTGATATGCGTCTTAATTGAGACGCATGGCAGAGTAACAATGTAAACAATATCGTTTTCTATGACAGAGCAAGTTAGTCTAGTGTTGCTGTCTTTTTCTGGACAGCATCAGAAACATGAGCCATTTTTATGTTCTTTATTCTTTAAAAAGACCAGTGTGACGTGATTGACAAAGTGAATGATGAGCCTACTGGGGGTGTTCTAGGCAGGACCTAAACCATCTTCATACTATTCATTTTTAAACGCATATATTTTAGCAAGAATATTATTGAACTTCGACCCTTCTTCGCATTTCGTCTTAACAATGTATCTACGATTATTTGTCTAAATGCTTGGAGTTTATGGCAAAACCGTCATTAGGAAAAATTAGTTCAAGTGCCAAAGCTTTCTCTGATTGGTTGAGCGCTTTTATGCTAATATTTTAGTTACCATGACAATGGACCATCCCGCTCAACTCATCAGCTGATTGAGCAGGTGTTCCGACACCTGTCAGTCACGTGACGTTAATTGGTCAGTGTTGCCAAAGTTATAAAATGGAAAATTTGATTTTACGTCAGATTTTATATTTTACGACTTATAAGAATAAAAAATAAATAAAAAACACTAAGCTCCAAATATAAGTATATTATTTATCACGAAACACAAAGAACTTTTAATATATTAAAACAAAATATTTATTATTAACCAGACCTAAATCCTGTTTCCTGCTCCATATACAGGGTGAGTTTTAATTGTCCCCCCCCCCCAACTTTTTTCTACATTTTTTCAAATATCAATCCCAGACCACTTCCAAACATTGTTGGGTAGTAAGTACTTCATTTTGACAAGGTGGCCATTTCCGGCCGCCATCTTGGATCCGCCATATTGGATGCAAAATTTTTTTTTCAAATGTAAAGGTGGGGTTGTGACCCATTATTTCGAACTACATTTTTACCCTGATTACAATGCCGCAAACCGTTAAAAAAAATCTTGATTCATTCTAAAGTTATGCGGGCTTTTTAAAACTTTATTTTTAGCCCATTTTAACATTGTGCATTTACAAACTAAGACCATAATCTCAAAATAGTGCTAGATAAAGATAAGTATACACTACCAGTAATTGTCGACCTATTTTCACTTGGTTATGACTGATGTATTTTTTTCGGCCGCCATCTTGGATCCGCCATTTTGAAAT